GGGGTGGGGGTGCCCCCGGGGTACTCCCTGGCTGCCCCCTGACACGTGACGCGCGACCGCCGTGGAGGCCGCCGCTAGTGACATCGCCGGCTTCTGATCAGTCAGTCGGCTTCCTCCAGGAAGCCCGCCGGTGTTGAAAGGTGCGTTTATCAGGGGTCCTGGGATACACGCACTAAGTGAGGAACCTACTGATTCACAACAGCCCGAGGCGGTGCTGGCCGGGGAGACCTGGAGTTTGTCTGGCTCTGCCATTGACTAAGAATTGGCTCTCTCGTAGTAACTAGGAGGTAATGTTGTTCGCAGTCTCATCCCCGGCCCCCACTCCACTCCCTTCCTGGAGTGCTGAAATCATTAGAATAAGTGAATGTGAAAGGCTTTGAAAGGATGATAACTACTATGCAAATGTAAAATGTAGATCGACACCTCCTTTGTTTAAAGAGGTTTTCCGGAATGACTTTTCTGAATCCCTGAACCTTTTAGGATGAAAAAGTTGTGTGTGTTTTCACGATTTTCCTTGGAAGTCATTCTAGAATGTATACTCTACCGCCCAGCTTCCTAAAATAGCTGTTACCAAATACAAAATAATCCTTCTCAAAACAGGGAAAGTAAGTTCCAACTTGTGCCGTAACCGGTAGCGGACCTTAGGAGCAGCCAGTGAGAAGCCTTTTGTTCCTGCACCGAATACCTTGCTCTCCCCCCAGGCTTCTATGCATTTGTAGTTTTAGTGTCCGCTTTTTTCAGTTCTCTTGTCTTTCTTGCAGACGGGATTCCTGCCTCTGTTGTCCGTCAAACAGGCCCGGAAATGGAAGTTATTTAAAGCCAGGGCTCCTGTCCTGATTCCATCCATTACCAACTGTGGCCTTGGGCAAATTATTAATCTCTCTCCTCTGGATTATATAGTAAAGCATTTAACACAGTGCTTGGCACAGGGCAAGTACTTCACAAATGTTAGGTAATAGCGACTTTTGATTACACACAACCCACAATATTCAGATTATTAATACTGTATGAAAATGTATCAACAGAATCCAGTCTTGGATCAGAATTTTTCTCCTAGAATATGCTTATGACAGCTGGGTATTTTTGTTTGTTTTTTTTACTCAAAAGCTTTTTGCCCTAGCCAGTTGCTCAGTGGATAGAGCGTCGGCCCGTGAATTGAAGGGTCCAGGGTTGGATTCCTTCCTAGGGCATGTACTTCGGTTGCAGACTCGATCCCTGGCCCTGGCCCTGGCCCTAGTCAGGGTGCCTGCAGGAGGCAACAAATTCACGTCAGTGTTTCTCTCTCTCAGCCTCTCCCCCTCCCTCCCACTCTCTAAAAATCAATGGAAAGATATCCTCTGGTGAGGATTAAAAAAAATTTTTTTAAAGCTTTTGTTGTTGCTTTTTATTTGTTTTTTAACTTTGCTAGATTGTGTTCTGGGTGGTTGGAAGTTATCAGCAGTCTAACCTCTGAATGAGTGAGGTCTTAGCATGTCTTATTATTAACTAGATGCTCAGTGCACAAATTCATGCACAGGTGGGGTCCCTCGGCCTGACCAGCAATCGGGGTGTCTTGCCTAGTCCCCAATGGGGGCCGGCCAGCCGGGGAGGGACCGCAGGAGGTTGGCCAGTGGGGAGGGACTGCGAGAGGGGTCCAGAGCGTGTCTGGGACGTCTCGCCCAGTCCCAGTCCGCTGGACCCCAGCAGCAAGCTAACCTACCAGTTGGAGCATCTGCCCCCTGGTGGTCAGTGTGCATCATAGTGACTGGTTGAGTGGTCGACCAATTGGTGGGGCACTTAGTTTATTAGGCTTTTATATATATACTAGAGGCCCGGTGCACAAAAATTTGTGCACTGGGG